TATTGTTATCTGTTTTAACTGGCTGTAAGCCGCCCTGAGTCCGCTAGGAGAAGGGCGGGGTACAAATTTGATAAATAAATAAATACTAATTTGACCTTCTAGAGTGCATTCATCCTCCATTGTAGACATGCTAAAAATGTACCAACATCAGTTAAAGTATATTCATTTTAATCCTTAAGAAACATGTGAAGAAACAGATTGATTGTGTCAGAAGGAAAATCATTTCTTGAAAATTCAACATGATGCATCATTTAAACATTTGGGGAATACAAGTCTGGTAGATAACTGATTGCCTAGTTCTCTGCATAATGGAGATGAAAATAACATTTAGTAATAAAAACAAGAAGAGTTTACTCCCTTTTCTTCAGAAAGAGACTTGGTATTGCATGAGTAGTAATTATCCTTCTTGCAATTATCTGAGGTTGTTTGTTCTCCATATTGACTTCACCCAAGGAACTTCTAGAGAACGTCAAAAATGAAATCCACAAACAATATTACAAGGAAGTATAAAACCTTTCTTTTGCCCAATTCTAAGTTGGGAGAGAACAAAGAAGGCAGAATTCTATCCAGTTGAACACTGTAGATTTACCCAATTCATTTAGGCAATATATCACTGCATTGCTTGAAGCCTGAAGAGCACTTTCAGAGATTTACTGTCCTTAATTACAGTTCCTTTTCCTATGCTACAGTTATGGAGTCGGTTATCAGATGATGTAGCTTGCTGATGTTTGCAAAGATCAGCTCTCAACCTACAGATGGCCTGGAAATTGCCTCCGTCTAGATTGATTTGGAGTCAGATGTTCTTGTTAACAATACTTGTACTCCTTCCGTCTTACGGGAGAGCTAAAGCAGACCCCAAAAAGTGCTCTAGCATAGAATCGTTTCTTGTTCCACGTGAGTGGTACCAATCTGGCAAGTTCCTGATTGGTGGGATAGTTTCTCATATCTTAAATGTATATTTCCAATATACCTTTGATGAAGCTCCTTCTAAGAAACTGAGTGATGAGCTTCCATTGTAAGTATTTCTCGCTTGCTTCCTATTCTTCTTCTCTGACACTAGGGCTACACTCTCTGAACTGCGAAATATTCGATCAGCCATTCAGTGGCATAAAAGATCAGAGGACCATCCAAGTTATTTCTACCACCTAGTAGCTATTTTGCACCTTAGAACTAGTAGGACTTATTTGCTCTTTAACTTTCAAGTTAAACAAGACATTTAAGGAAAATAATTAAGGTAGAAGTAAATTAAGGTAAAGTGGACTGCCTTTTTTTTAGATTAGATTAGATAACCTGTATTGTCATTTTTTTTTTATTGTGGGCACATTGGCACACATTAAAAATGAAAATTAGTTGCTTCCTCTCAAATTGTACACATAAATAACACACATTTAAACATACTATATACAACTCATGTATAGACCTACACCCTTACATATAAGTAACATGTAAATATTACTCACTGTCCATCTTGAATACATAACGGAAGGAGGAAGCTTTAGAGTTCACAAGGTTAATACTGTATCTGGATGTTCTGCTTTGGATACCATGGAGCCCCCTCCCCGAATGTAACAAGGAAAACAGGTTGTAAAGAGGATGTGTCGTGTCTCAAACAATATTGTGGACCCTGCTCAAGCAACGCTTATGTGCTATGTCCTGGATGGAAGGGAGGGAACTGCCAATGATCTTTTCAGCCATCCTCACCACTCTCTGCACCGCTTTTCTGTCTGAAGCAGTGATGGAAATGTCAAGATACATTTCCTGCACTGTAGTTCATTACAAACTATGAATACCTCTTCATAGCTAAGGGGATTATATCAGTTTCATTCAGTAATTAGACAGCTAGAAACTAACATCTGCTAAGCCCTACTTTATCAGCTTCAAGTTCCATACTTGGAGTATCCCTAATCAGTTTCATGTTTATTTTTTTCCCTAAACCTTTAGAATTGTCTTCTATTCAGCTGATAAAGGTTGGTGGGAAGATTTCCAATTAATTGTGTCTTATATAAATTTGAACCATGCAGAATGGTGACAATAGTGTGCATTGTAAATTAAATTCACCAAAGATGTATATATTCTTTTTTCTTACAGTATGTTGCCAAAGTTCTACCAACACCTCCTGGCTCTGGCCTTCGCTGTGAATAAGATCAACCAGGATCCAATGATCTTGCCGAATCTCACCCTGGGTTTCCATATCTATGACAGTCAATTTGATTCAAGGATGACCTATCGGATCACCTTGGACTTGCTTTTCAAGTCACAGACATTTCTCCCCAATTACAAATGTGATCCTCACAGAAGACTGATAGCACTCATTGGGGGAATCAGCCCTGACATCTCCTCCTGTGTGGCAGACATTTTAAGTCTGTACAAGATTCCGCAGGTAAGATCTGTGCACCTCAACAGAGCAGCCCTATCATTTTGGTACAGTAGTCGGTTTTGTTTTTCTGAAAGTGAGTCTCACATTCCCAAAAGAGTGAAAGTGAATGCAGAAATGGGGAAAGCTTCCAGAGATTGGAAGAGAGATGCAAGCATATGATAGAAACTAGGATATCTTGCCAATAACAGAATAAAAGTGTTGTAAGGGTCTGTCTGTCTGTCTGTCTGTCTGTCTGTCTGTCTGTCTGTCTGTCTGTTTATCTATCTTCTATTTATGATCTGTCTTTCTGTCTGTCTGTCTGTCTATCTATGTATCTATCTATGTATCTATCTATGTATCTATCTATGTATCTATCTATGTATCTATCTATCTATCTATGTATCTATCTATGTATCTATCTATCTATCTATCTATCTATCTATCTATCATTTATCTACATATATCATCTAAGGAAAGGTTTTCTCAGTGCATTTAAACACATTATTTTTAAGGCCAGGAATCATCATTGAATGAACAAAAATGGTTATTTTTGATATTTGTTAAGCTTAAGTTTCCTTAAAGGTTTAATAGCAAAGCAGTAAGCATGCATCTTAACAGAATAACATAGTTGGAGGTCTTCTAGTCCAACCTTATACCATTTCAGACAAATGGTTTTTCAGTCTCTTCTTAAAAACCTCCAATGTTGGAGCACCCACAACTTCTGGAGGCAAGCCGTTCCACTGGTTACAGTAATTGTTTTCACTGTCAGGAAATTTCTTCTTAGTTCTAAGTTGGTTCTCTCCTTGATTCCATCCATTGCTTCTTGTCCTGCCTTCAGATGCTTTGGAGACTAGGTTGACCCCCTCTTCATTGTGGCAGCCCCTTTAGATATTGGAAGATTGATATAAATGTTTCTATAATGCTACCAATATAGAATGCTACCAATGCTACCAATGTTTCTATAATGTCTGTTTTCAATAGCTGTATCATTATTTCCAAGGTTTTGGCACAAGAGTCCATGATTTGGACTCTCCCAGATTCCACCCTCATCAGAATTCTAATCATGGTCTTACCTGGTGGAATGAATTGTAGCTTAATATTAAGTGTTTCCTGCTTGGAATCTCAGAGTGCCATTTCAGTACACGTAGTACTAAGTTGAATGGATCCATCAAATAATTAATCAATTTTATTTGATCATAGACCAGCAAATAAAAACAAGAAAATCACAATTAATTAGGGTAAAAAGAAAAAAAAGTTCTAATATATTTAAGAAGAATTAGAAAAGAACCAATGGCACTCTATATAAACCATAGAACAGTATGTCTCTGTAGTCAAGGAAGTAAAATCAGATTGATCTAATAATAACAATGTAAGATTAGACAAATCAGAATTACCAGGATGTTTAATGAAAGATGGAGATAATAATTCCTGGTGATCATTTGCACAGAAGGGACAATACAAGATAAAATGTTCCAGTTTCAATTGTTCTTCCACTGCATGGACACAGTCTTCATTTGAAGAGAATATTTTGGTGTATACTTCAGTAAAAGCTGTTGGGAGGCCATTGAAACAATAGATAAAACCCTTGTCCCAAAAGTACTTTTTTTCACAAGGCAACTGGAGTTTCTTGTTTTCCTTTGAAGATGTTTCACTTCTCATCCAAGAAACCTCTTCAGCTCTGACTGGATGGTGGGGATGGTCAGAGCTGAAGAAGCTTCTTGGATGAGAAGCAAAATATCTTCAAAAAAAACCCCAAGAAAGTCTAGTTGCCTCGTGAAAAAAGCATCTTTGGGACAACCATGACCTGGATGACTGAGAATCTCCATAGACAGATAAAACCCTTCTAAATTTTTGACTTTGCATGCAACTAAGATATATGGCTGGTTGGAAAAGTGTGTCGAATGACTCAGAAAGATGTTTCTCAGTAGATCTGGTAAAGCTGCTATAAATGAATGGCCTGTTCCTTGAGATCAGCTAGTACATGTTCATAGCCCTTCAGGACGAAGTCTGGCCATGAAAAGCCATAAAGGTATTATATTGCTTTGATTGATTGATTGTCCTATTGATCTTTGAAATTATTCTCTGCTGATTTAAGACCTCTTTCTTAGATTTTAAAGCAGCCTAGATTGCAAACAAATCTTTCTAAATAAAATTTGAATTGTTAAGGTGGGTGTTTATTGTTTTGCTATTAAACCTTTGAGGAAACTTCATGTTTAATAAACTTAATGGATAACAAAAACAACTATTTTTCTCCATTCATTGATAATTCCTGGTCTTAAAAATAATGTTCATAAATGCATTGAGAAAACATCTTATAAAAGAGAGAAGGGGATAGAGATAGAGATAGAGATAGAGATAGAGATAGAGATAGAGATAGAGATAGAGATAGAGATAGAGATAGAGATAGAGATAGAGATAGAGATAGAGATAGATAGAGATAGAGATAGAGATAGAGATAGATAAATGGCATATAACACCTCTGCTACATGCATAGCCTTGGGTGCTGGTTTGTTTCCTAGTTGAATTCAAGGTGTTAACTCTCACCTTTAAAAACTTTCATGGCATGGGGCCAGGTTACCTAAAGAACTGTTTCATACCAATTATATTGTCTCATCCCACCTGGTCAGACAGGGAGGGCATGTTGTGTATCCTGTATCATTGGTGGGATCCAAGGAGAGACAGTTCTTTGTCATTGCCCCCACCCGATCTCATCTTCAGAGGTGAGGTGTATCTGTATCTTATCTCTGGCTTCAGAAAGAGTGTTAAGATCTGGCTCTACCAATTGGTGTGTGTGTGTGTGTGTGTGTGTGTGTGTGTGTGTGTGTGTAAGAGTGAAATGCAACTCTGGGGGGGAACTGATATCATGTTCTCTCTCCTTTGTTATCTTTTAATGTTTTTTTTTTAACTTTTAATACCGTAAACCTATCTTTTAAATTTTGTTTTTAACTTTGTTCTGATTTATGATCTTTTTTTTAAAATTTTATTGATTTTTCAATTAAAAACAATAACATGAATATGATGCATTTAATCACATTATCAACCAAGAAAATAACACTACTCTTATACTATGGTATCTTTTTTATTATTATTATAACCTGCCTAGAATCACTTAGATGAGATGGTTAGTGTAGAAATGTGATGAATAAGTAAATAAATAATATGTATCTGAATATCTCTGAGCATGTCCTTTCAGCTCACATATGGATCGTTTCCTATGCATAGAAGTAATATGGTAGAGACATCTTCCTTTTACCACACAGTCTCCAATGAAGATCATCAGTATACAGGCATTATCTATTTACTTAAACATTTTGGGTGGATCTGGGTTGGACTTTTGGCTGGAGATGACAAAAGTGGAGAGCGTTTCTTGAAAAAGCTGGAGTCATTATTTCTCCAGAATAAGATATGTTCAGCCTTTGTTCAAAGAATGCCAGTTCATAGCCGGTTCCCTGAACTTGATGAACTGAAAACTATTTCTGCCAATACTAATGAGTTCTACTCAGATCCAAAAGTCAATACCCTTGTTGTCTATGGTGAAACTCTAACTGTAATGTGGCTAAGCACTGCATTATTTTTCGCGGGTGCTACCTATACCGAAAAGGTGTGGATTATGACAGGCCAGATTGACTTTGCTTCAACAGTCATTTCAAAGCACTTGAAATACGAAATATTCCAAGGTGCCTTTCTTTTTGCGATCCACTCCAATGAACATGAAGAGTTTCAGATCTATCTTCAGAATATAAAACCAACCAAGGCACAACCTGATGACTTTTTCAAGGAGTTCTGGGAACAAGTCTTTGGTTGCTCTGTTCCAGATCCTACACACCTAATAGAGGCTCACAAATTTTGTAGTGGGACAGAATCCTTGAGGGATCTTCCAGGGATACTGTTTGAGATGGTCATGACTGGCCATAGCTACAGCATCTACACTGCAGTCTTTGCTGTGGCCCATGCATTACACAGCCTGGATTTATCTAGATCGAAACATAAAGCAATCAGGATTGCAAGACATCTTGAAGAGATAAGCCCTTGGCAGGTAATGTCTCCAGAATGAAAGAAAAGAAAAGAAAATTAAAAGAAACTCTACATAGAATTGAAAAAAATAATTTACATGATACTAAAATACATAGAACTTCCTTTTTCACTAATAACTCTCAGGGATATATGTTATTTGTGGATTATTTAAAATATTTTCCATTGGGGGAGAGGAGTCCTCTTACATTTTCCAGTTCTAGGGATCGCAGTGACTTATGAGTTAGGATGCTGGGCTGACAATCAGCAAGCTTGTGTTCAAGACCCAGTTGCTGTCCCAGGATGGGGTGAGTTCCTGTCACACTCTCCAGTTCCTGCCAAGTTAGCATTTTAAAGTGGACTTCTGTCTGTAGATAAACTCCAGTGGGCAACTTAATGGGGACATGAAAGGAACCCACCAATTGGGCATCCCCTGGTCAATGGTGATGTCACCATTCAATCTTTTTAACCCGGAAGCGCTGAAGCAATTCTGATACGACTGTAGCAGTTCCAATTCTGAAGATGAGTAAAATCTTTTCATTCATTTTCACAACTATCCTTTTTAAAGAAGAATTTTCAAAAGCCTTCATATTTGGTAATGAATCAGGTTAAAAGAAGTTATTTTAAAAAATGGAAAAGCAGAATGTATAGACTCAGGCATTCAGACAGAGATTTCTACATACATACTGGTAGTTCTTAAAAGTTTGATTCAGTTCCATATGTTATTAGAGTTGATTTTCTTATCCTATTATTGCTCTGGTTCAGTAATTTTTTTTAAAAAAAATAATGATATTTTGTAGGAGGCCAGCAAGATGAAAAAGGTATCAAAAGCCTTCTAGAAAAACATTGTGGTAGTAAAAAAAAAATTGTGTTAAATCCAGAGGTGTGGGAGAGTATTACAAAGACACACACCCCAACTGGCTCAGGTACAAAAGGGAGGAAAAGAAAGACACAGGCATTCTTTTAAAATGTTGTTTTCATAGCCTTGATAAAGTTGTTATTGTATCCCAATAAAGTATAATTGTAATTATTTCCATATCTGGCCTACCATGAAGAGTTAAAACATTTATATAAAAAGAAAAAGAAAGGCTACAGCTCTAAAAGAGCAAGAATAAGAATGACAAATGGTGGGGGTAATATTTGTATGTATTCACTCTTAGTTTGAGTTATGAAAAGATCCCTTCTCTTATCCGTTTCTTGCTTTGTTCTTCTTAGCTTCACCGCTTCCTTCAGACCCTTG